AATAAAATTACTGATATTATATAATTATATTTTTAAATAGTTATTTTATAATAAACTGGTGTCAAATCGTTATTTCCTCATTATATATAAATTTATAAAGTCTCAAAATTAAACCAAGATTTTGTCAATTATAAATGAATCACATTATATACTAATTTTATTTCTCTTAATATGTCTTTTTTATATATATTTAATATTGAAAAGTTTATAAAAAATTTAACTATCATAATTCTCGGCAAATAGCATCCCGGGATCTTACATTTCTGTGATTAAATCTTAATTAGTATCCGGGGGAGGTTTCAAGTAAAGAGAGATCCAGTACGACATTCCAAAAATCACAATTCCGACAATCCATAAGCTTAACAAACAAAATCCCGAATGAACGGTAAATGAACGACATCCTGAATTCACGAAATTTGAAAGTGCAGAATCCCGAATGCATGTAATGATATCAAAGTAATCGTATAAATATACTATCTAGCGGTGCATACATCCGTTCGGGATTTCGTGCATTATGGATGTTTGTTCATACGAACGCACAAATAATTTTTTATAGTCATATTTTAGGATCCTTAAAAGCTAAGCTTCAGTCGGCGTCAAATTATGCGGAGGTAAATTATATTTGTTAATTTGTACATGGATTATTTATGATACCCGCTTTTACAATCTTTTTCGCGAAACCTTGATTAAGTCCGTTATAAATCAAGATTCGGTATACTAACGAGGGGGACACTACTTGCTGAGAATTACGGTATATAAAAAATTTATATGTAACCATGAAAATAGACAAATAGAACTTATGTACAATAATTATGTTCTTTATATAAAGAGAAATTTTACTAGAAACTTTGAGACGAATACGGAGCTAAAATTCTCGATTGCAATCTATGATATTACTCAATGCATCTCATTTTTTATTAATGGTCCATCCAACCAGGTTACTTTATAAATTAACCCAAAACCTCCTTTTCAACGTTGGTTACTTTATAATAAGTCGATCCTCAATCTTATATAGCGTGTTCTGATAGAGATACGACTGTACAGTATATTAAAATTTTTATTTTAAGATGGTACGCTTATTTTCTTGTCTCATATAAAAATGCAAATTCGAATACATTTTAATAACTACTTGAATTAGATATAATTTTTACAGCTCTTCCCAAGTTGGCTTGTACATGTCATGTACATGTAATATGCAGAAAAATTAGACCCATGACTCGTCTAAAAGTAGTATGCGTGCGAAATTCTTTACAAAAATCAAAATCCTGTCTATTCTTGTTTTGTATTATCGTATATTCACATGGTGGTGTGGGTATGGGAAAACGCGTCGTATGCATTAGAGATGATATAAACGTTTTAAAAAGAAAATCAATTTTTTTGGGTTCTTTGCAATACTTTGGATAATATGAAACCAAAAGAATTTCTCTACATTGTTGATGGAATTATCTATCGTGGAATTGAAGCTTTGAATGCGAAAGAAAAGTCTAGTGCCAAAAAATCGGTAGACGAGCTACTTGAAAGTATTGCTGATGTTGAAATACCTCCACCGGTACGCACAGCAAAAGATTATTAACCTTTAAAGAGACAAGGGGACCCTGATAATCTTGTAAATTCATTTGCTTTTCACTAACTTCTTAAAATTACTCAGGGCGAAAAAGACTTCAGTGCTGAAATTAAAAAAGAGAATAACGAAACTGGGAAATCCAACGTTACAGTAGATGATAATAGGACTGCTCGTTTAACTGTGTTTGGAAAAAACAATGAAGTCGGGAATTCCAACGTTAAAAGAGATACCAATACTTTTGCCTGTGCAAACATAACGGGAACACACAATGAAAGAGAAAATATAACAATATCTAGAGACAATAAAGAAACTTTAAGCGTAAGTATAACCGGAATGCACAATGAAATTGGAAATCGCACCCTTGCAAGGGATACCAAGACGACTGTCTGCGCAAAAATAACTGGAATACATGATGAAAGAGGAAATACAAAAATTTCTAGAGACACGGCAGAAACACTAAGCGTAAATATAACTGGAATGCACAATGAAATTGGAAATCGCACCTTTGCACGGGATACCAAGACGACTGCCTGCGCAAAAATAACTGGAATACATGATGAAAGAGGAAATACAAAAATTTCCAGAGACACAGCAGAAACACTAAGCGTAAATATAACTGGAATGCACAATGAAATTGGAAATCGCACCTTTGCAAGGGATACCAAGACAACTTACTGCGGAAATATAGCCGGAATACATAATGAAATAGAAAATAAAAAAATTTCTAGAGATAATGAAACAGCTCGTTCCATAAATATAACTGCAATGCACAATGAATTCGGAAATCGCAAAAAAGCAAGAGACACTACAACGACTGAATGCGCAGACGTGAAAGGAATATACAATGAAGTCCTGAATCATACGGAAGCGAGAGACAACACGTCAGTTAAAAACACAAGTGTGATTCTGATGCACAACGGAATTGGAAATTACCGAAAATTGAGACACAACCGAGAGTTTGGAGGCCAACACGCAACCTTAATTGATAACCAATTATTTAATATTACAAGCACCGAATCGAATATTGGTACCTCTACTCATGTCAGCGGAACTGGTGTGAATGCTTTCAACCTAAATGTGAGCAAAGGTTCATTCGGGGTTGATACAGGCGTTAGTGGACAAGTTCAATTTTTGAATGTGGATATAGGAACTCGTTTGCAACTTGGCTTGGGGCTTGGCTTCAATTTGGGTATTCCGTTTCTTGGTTCAGGAGGAGGTGGTGGTGGTGGAGGTGGTGGCGGTGGTGGTGAAAGTGGTGGTGGTGAAGGTAGTGGTGAAGGTAGTGGTAAAGGTAGTGGTGAAGGTGGTGGTGAAGGTGGTGGTGAAGGTGGTGGTGAAGGTGGTGGTGAAGGTGGTGGTGAAGGTGATGGTGACGGTGGTAGTGAAGGTGATGGTAGTGATGGTGGTGATGGTGGTAATTATTCACAAAACGGAGTGTATTCTGATGGTGACAACGAAAACAATCCGGGCGGGAATTCTAATCGCGGTGGTAACCAAGATGATCCTGATTTATGTGGACCTGGTGAGGATTCTAATGATGGCAACGAAGACAATACATATAATAATCAACAAAATGAAGATGTTTCGGGAGGGGGTTCCAATGGTGGTAACGAAGTGGATCCTGATTTACAAAATGAATATGGAACCGATGAAAATTCTAACCGTGACAACGAAAGCAATTCGAGAGGGAATTCCAATGATGGTAACGAAAATGATCCAAATCTAGGAAATGAATATGGATATCAGTATGTTTATGTAGTAGATGCTAACGGTGGGAACGAAGATAACCTAGGAGGTGATTTAAATGGTGGTAACGAAGGCGAACTTGATCTAGGAGGTTTTGGAGGGAATTCCAATGATGTTAACACGGATGATTCGATTTATGACGATAGCGGAATTCTAGATATCGAGAATCAAGGTAGTGCTCAAGAAAATCCTTCAGGAGACACCTATTCATCCTCAAATTCGGCATCTGAAAACTGCAACGAAAGCACCTTCACCGGAAATCATACGCTTTTCATTGTCAATAATCTTCAACCATCCTCATTTACTACACAAGAGGTGCAAATTAATCAGAATCTTGATGGTGAAGATGCTGCACCGCATGATCATACTAACCGGGAGGAAAATAGCACAAATAAAAATGATCATAAAACAGGCGATATCAATAATAACAATTGTGAAGAAAACTCCGAATTCTCTTTGCCCTCCGCTTCAGATCGCATGGAAAAAACTAAAAATTCACAAAATTTAACCGTATTTGAGCAAACCTTAGCAGATTCTATTAAGGAACATCCACATTTGCTTGCGGCACTAAAAGCTATGGAATCAGGATCCAATTCTGTTTCCTCTGAATCTTCTACCTCCTCTGCACCCCCTGCACCCTCTACATCTTCTACTCCCTCTACTCCCTCCCGATCTTCTACTTTAGAAAACGATATTCGTGAACGCATCAAAATGTATATTCGTCGTGCTAAAGAAGCTAAACAGAACGAGCAAGCCCAAGAAAGAGGTGCAAACTCCGCCGCCACTTCCACTTCTAATAATCCTAAATCTACTGGTGATAATTCATCACCACAAAAGAAACTGACAGACGACGAGGATAAAGAAGATGAGGAAGTAGATATGGAACTTCCTAAACCATGCAAAAACCACTCTCCCAATATCCGTTGCTTTCGTTGTTTGTTGGGCTCAAAAGGAAAGAACGTGAAACGAGTCAGTGGAAATGTGTTTGGATTTGCCAATTAAAAACCTGATTTTTTTACAACGTTTAATAATTACCACAATCAATATTGTTATTTCTTTAGCATACATAGCATACATATCACTACGTTGTCATATTCAACTATTGCTATAACAATATATTTTAAAGTAAATATTAATGATGATTATCCTCGTCTAATCAGATGTTTTATGAAGTTAATTATAATTTGTAGCCGATGTTTTCACTCTTTATAACGTGTAATATCATGTATATTTTGGTGTTTTACAATGGAAATCATATGGAAGATTGCGGACTCAAGAATTTTTGGATGCAAATTGCTTTGAATTACGCTTTTTGCGAGTAACAACTTATACACATAAATGAAAAGTTCTATGAAACCTCTTTTACAGGGGTTTTATTTATCTTCGGAAATTCGCACACAAATGTATGATCTTTTAACACTAACAATTATAACAAGCGGTGATTAAAGCAGAAGTTGACATGTAGAGTTGCTGGCTGTAACAATTACAGACATTTCGGGATTACAACCCGAATTGTAATCCTGATTCCAACCAAGGTCTAAAGTTGTTATATGAGGTGTATGTAACACGTAATTAAACTGTAATACATACAGTGACTCACAAGAGAAACGAAAAACGAAAAGTTTACGAAAAAATTCTAGTGCCTTTAACATCGATTCATCTTTATGCTCATTTATATTTAATGAGATTTTAACTCCAAATATCAGGATTGACCTAATGACGTATCTCCGTACCAATTTCAGCTTAGCGTGCGTTAGTTATTTATAGTAGGTCCAAAATTACCAAATTGATGCTAGCAAAAAAAATGAATTATTTTTGCTAGCATTAATTGTCGCAGATTAAAATGAAAATTTTTGGTCTAGTCTAGTATCTTATATTAATTTGTTACTGTTTGCTGAATAAATCCGTGATTATGTTAATCTGGTATCCCGGTCACAAAAAAACTTAATCGTACGAATTAATACAAAAATTCTTAACTTGATCACCTATACCAAAATTCACCTTCTGTATTGTCATAATAATTCTACTTTATTTTATTTTTATC